ATCTATGTAATGTTAGTAAAATATGATTTTGTATTATGATTTTGTATTATGCTTTATTATTTTTATTTTACTTTTGAATGAAATATTTAAGTTAGACTGTTTTGTAATTTTGTTGTTAGCTTGAAACTCTGAAGTATTCTGTTGATAAAATTGGAAGAGATGTTAACAATGCACGTAAAGCTGAAATGGAACTAAAAAAAGAAATTTTTGCTAATAAAGAGAAGTAAGTTTATTATAAAATATTTTTTATTTGAGTTTTATTTTATATGATTTTTAGTTTTAAATGATTAGTTATTACGAAAGGTGTCTTCAAAAAAAAAAAATTACTTTAATAATTTCATTTCATTACCTGAATATTAAAATTTTAAAAAAAATTTCTTTTTTTTTTAATTTTACTCTGATTCACTTTTAACAAGGCTTCAAGCAACCACTATTCAGATTTGGAATTAACAAGCAACCACTATTCAGATTTGGAATTAACAAGCAACCACTATTCAGATTTGGAATTAACAAGCAACCACTATTCAGATTTGGAATTAACAAGCAACCACTATTCAGATTTGGAATTAACAAGCAACCACTATTCAGATTTGGAATTAACAAGCAACCACTATTCAGATTTGGAATTAACAAGCAACCACTATTCAGATTTGGAATTAACAAGCAACCACTATTCAGATTTGGAATTAACAAGCAACCACTATTCAGATTTGGAATTAACAAGCAACCACTATTCAGATTTGGAATTAACAAGCAACCACTATTCAGATTTGGAATTAACAAGCAACCACTATTCAGATTTGGAATAGTTTGCATGTATTTATACACATATATACATACACATTTATACATACAGTTTTTAATAGAAAATAAAGAAAAAAAGTTAAAGAGCAAGAAAGCGGTTGACAAGGCTTAAAAAATTGTAGGATATATTGGAATGGAAAATATGAAGGTGGAAGTGGGGGAGAATTCAAAATGGATGAAGTGCAGGAAAAAATTAGACAAATAAAAGTTTTAACAACAATCAGGGACAGATACAGTAAAAGGGTGTGACTTTTCTGAATGAAAAGTCAAGCAAGAATGATTTCTGGTTAATGAAACTAGAGATGATAGCTCCTTTGAGCAGTGTCCATTATAATATTTGTTGAAAAGAGAAAATACAACCTTACAATGAGAGAAAATACAACCTTACAATGATGGGAAAGAGGCTCAAGCTTAGCAAATAGAGCAGGTCTAACTGCATTTACAATTCATTTTTGGACCTTGTCTAGAGGAGAAAGAGTATCATTAGAAGAACCAGCCCAAACATGACAACAGTATTTAATACAGGGACAAATAAGAGATTTGTAGAGATAGAGAATGGAATCAGGAGAAGAAAAAAACGGCAAGCCTGGTAAAAGCAAAGCAACCTTAACAGGTGCTAACTCAGCAATTGATTGTATATATGGTTTCCATGAGAAGTAAGTAGTGAACAATAATCCAAGAAAATGGGGATGTTAGAAATTTGTGGATCAAAAACTCAAAAACCTTGCTATAGTAATAGTAGAAAGAAGGTATACTGATCGGATGGTAGATAAAGAGGTCAAAATTCTCTTCAGAGTTTTTTTAAATTAGAACCACAGATTTCATTTTCCAGCTAGCAGGAAAACAAGATTCAGTTAAGCACTTATTAAATAGTTTATAGGGAGTTGAACTGAATTCTAAAGAACACTATTGTAAGACTATAATAGGAATATTGTCTGGGCCACAAGCTGTAGAAGAATTTAATTGAGATATGACTTTAGTAAGAGATGCTGGAGTGATTTAAATGTCTAACAATCTGACCTGTTTAACTGAAATGGAAGGAAGAGTATGATCTTACGGTCATAATTATCCTTCCATCTTATAACTCGACTCAATGTTAACTCGAGTTGAATTAAAAGAAAAATTCTTTGCAAATAATTCAGCCTCATCCTTGGAAGATGTAATAAGATCAGTCTTATGAATGAGTGATGGAATGTAAGACCTATCTTTGTTAATGGTGCTGTTGAAGATTTTCCGTAAGTCTTTAGGGCCTAACTTCTAAGATAAGATATAAGTTTTAGTAAACTGGGAATATTGGAGTTTAGCATCAGATAGCACCTTTTTACATTGATTTATTGCAATAATAGATATTCTTACGATAATAAAATTTAATTTAAAAATGAATATAGATAAGAAATTGTGTATGAAGATTTTGGTATCAAAAGTCTAAGTTTTTTATATCCTCTTATGTCCTTTATCCAGACTTTTTAGAATCTGTTCTTTAAGTTCAAAGTTTAGCATTAATATTTAAAACAAACAATTTCTTAAATATGTTCCTTTTAATGCAGCAATAGACTAAAAAGTTACGAATTTTTAAAAAATTAAAGTACACACAAAATACTAATTTAATTTTGACTTTATCAATAAAAAATGTTGACAACTGCCAATTCAACAATTATCTAATGATCTATTTAATAATAATCTCATGATTATATTTGATTAATTATGATAAATTCTATTCATAAATTCTTTTTCATATTTTTATTTTCGTAGGTTTAAGCAATCTCAAACTAAAAGTCAGGAGGTTCATGAGCAGTATAAATCAGCACAAAACATGCAATTAACTGCAGAAGAAAGAACCCAAATGCTTAAATCCTGTTTGACAAAAGAAGAAATATTAAATAAAGATATTGAAAAAGAGCTCTCTCAGCTTCGTGATATACAAGTAATATGATTAAATACTTTACTTTACGTAATGCGTTGCTTAACTCGTAAATCTAATAATGTTTGCACTGATTATATATATATATATATATATATATATATATATATATATATATATATATATATATATATATATATATATTACATATATATATATATATATACATATATATATATATATATATATATATATTATATATATATATATATATATATATATATATATATATATATATATAATATATATATATATATATATATATATATATATATATATAACTATTTAAATATATTTCAAATAGTCTAAAATAAAAGGGAAAAAGTGCTGTTTTTTTCTCCCAATTAAATTGAGATAAATTTGAAGCTTTTACTTTTTTGGGAGTTATTTTAATTCTTGTTTTAAATTTATATGTAAATAGCTTGTTTTAAAACCCAAATTATCAACCCAATGTATGTACTAAGAATATATATATATATTATATATATATATATATATATATATATATATATATATATATTATATATATATATATATATATATATATAATTTTTTTATGGCAAGTAGTTAAATCTACTTCATATTGTTTAGAATTCACAATAGGGATAAGGGACCAGACCAAAAGTAATGTAATGATATCTAATGATAGAATCTTTCTATCAAAATATTTTTTATCAATAACTTTTTTACTATATGAAAGACTCTTAACGTGCCTCTACAGTTGCAGTTTTTTATGATAATCTGTCAGTGGCGAATTGAGGTTTAGTGTTGTAGGGGGCCAAGTCAATGAATAGGGGTGACCGGGGTGCGATATTTTAAACTCCAGAAATTATTTTCATGACTAAAACACTAATAAGTGTTTTTATATGACTTTTATTATACTTGTTACATACATATAAGCCACTAAATAACCTAGCTTTTTTTGAGTTTCTTTTGTTCATTAAAATAAACAATTATCAATTTAAATGATAATTGTTTATTTTACTAGGTTTATTAAAGTTAACAATTATCTTTTAAAAAATAAGAAACATTTAGTATTACTAAAATAGTTTGGTCATTTAAAAATGTGTTTAACTAGACATATTGCAAAAGTTAGTATTTAGAAAAAAAATTTACTTTTCAAATAGTTTACACAAATTCTGCCAAATTTTATTGAAGCAAAACGATTTATCGACTAGTCAAAGTCAATGTATTCAGTAAGCTCACATTCAATAAAAATTAATGCTGATCCAGAAAGACGTTTGTTTGTCATTGTTGATCTAAAAGAATTTTTTGTAATTTTTAGTTCAATGAAACTTTTTTCAGCATTAGCAGATGTAACAGAAAGAGTCAAGTAGATTTTGTAAAGTATAGACAAGTTAGGGAGACCGGACGCTATCTGTTACTCAATCAAGAACTGAAGTACTTCATTCAATTATATGTCAATTATCAGTGAGGGGGATATCGATGCATACACATCATTGAAAGTGTCTACGGCTGCTTCAGTATTAACATCGTTACAATAAATTTGACAAATGAGTTTATATTTTCTTCAGATAATTTTGACAGATCAAGGCAATCAAAATGTGTAATTGTGTTGCTAAAGTTGTGAAATTGTTTATTTATTTGGGTTATAATTGTATTCAAAACATTGAAGTAGGTTTCACATTTTAGGCGTGTAGTTGGATCATCAGCTCTTTCATCTCTCCACAGCTCTCCTGTCATGCTTTCTTTTTGGCATGATGTTAGGTTAACTGAATTTAAAGAAAGACAAGTTTTCTTTAAATTCGGTTTTTAAATCTTTAGTTCAGCACATTTTTCACTAATAAATGATTTGACTGCTAAATGTAGAACTGCAAAAGCTTCATCGTTTCTCATATCTACAAACTTTTTTTTTGTAACATCAATCAACTATTTTGTTAATAAACAACATTGGCAAAAATAACATCAGAAAAACAAATGAATGTTTTTTTTATTAAAATCAGTTTTAATAAAAAATAGTCCAATAGCTTCTGCTTTAACTTTTCCTGTATGTTCTTTAGATTCTCCTAGATTTATATCTTCTAGAGTGGCTAGATTAGCAGAAAAAGATTCAACATTAGCATCAACTGCATGCCTCCTACTTGCTTATCTTGTATCAGAAAGACGTTTCAGAGTGTCTGCTGTTGATTCATATAGACGTTTCTGGTACTCTTGGAGAATATGAAGTTGTGGTAAACTAGACGTAAGGTACGTATACAATTTTTCAGCTGTGCCTAAAAACATCTGGACATCGCTGTTTTCAGACATTACTTTGATGGTCACCAAATTTAAAACATGAGCACAGCAATGAACATAGATGGCATTAGGTAAAACCGCTTTTATTCGAGTTTGAAGACCACTTTTATTTCCAAACATTACACAAACAACATTATATGCTTGTCCTCTGCAGAGTTTAATATCAATGTTTTGAAAGAAAATAATTTAAAACCTCTGTTTTAAAATAATTCCTTTCTCTCCATTTGTACTTATTTTTATTCTTTTCATTTTGTTTTTTATTGGTAATTTGAATTTATAATTTTTTTTTTAATGTTTTATGGGGCGCCATTTGATCATTCTAGGGGGCATGGGGGCAGCTTGCCCCCCTATGTTTTATACTAAATCCCCCACTGTGGCCTATGTATCATGGTGCCCCTCTCTTCCCTAGTCTATTTAGTTGTGCTCACTTTTAGTATTAACTTGGCTTATATTTAACATAATGAAAAGACCACATAACATAACTTATAAAGGCTGTTTTTTTAAATCAGTTATAACAGCAGGCACCATGAGCAAGTGAAGCCTGCAAAACCTAAAAAAAAACATGAATAAAGTCTATATTTATATTGAATATTTTAACTTAGCAATATATAATTATAGGTATGTAGATTGAAATTTTTAAATTGATCAAGTTTGAGGTTGTTTTAGATCATTGGAAAGAGCTTTAATTCAATATTTTAAAATTGAAAAATTATCAAAATCGAACAATTCCACATAAAGTTACGACATTTTAAATTTTAATTTATGTAACTTTGTAAACTCTAATCTAAATGCTTATAACTTGGTATTAAAATATAGGTATATAAAAGTAACATACAAATTTATATTGGCATCTAGCCCCTCTCCCCTCTTCCCTCAAGGAAGATGAAGCATCCAACCACCTTCTTTATACACATAAGATGGAGCATCCAACCACCATCTTTACTTCCAATAAATACAAAATTGATTCATAAAAGAGTGTTTTTTTAAATGAAAATCATATGCAATCATATGTTTTCATATGCAAGATACTGTTGTAGTTTGCTTTTAGACCTCTAAATCTGAAAAGTTTATTTTTGACTTAAGATGGATGTGGAAGTGTTAATTGGTAGCTACAGTCCTGGAATGTCCTGGAAAATTACATTTTTTTCAAAAATATTATGAAATTGTTATTTTTTTAAATAAAATTAAAAAATTGCTTTTAATATTGAAGTTAAATTATTTTTTTATAAAAAGTATATAATAATAGTTTTCATTTAATTTAACAACAGAATTTTCTATGATTTATTATTTATTTAAAAGCTCTTAGTTCTTTATGAGTATTTTATTTTATAAAGATTACTAGAGATGCTTGAGTTAAACTAAAAATAAATATTTATTCAAAACATAAATAAGATATTTTTGTGTTGCTATTACAAAGAATAATTTTTGGCTCTTAACCTTGCATAAAACATCGATGATATTTTACTAAAATTGCCATCATCTTGGACTTTAGTATACTATCTAGATGTATTTAGAACTTAATACAGAAAAAAATCTTTATTCGTTTTTTTTTTTAACCATTTTATATGGTAAAAATTTCAGAGTTTCTCTATTTTACCTCTGTCCTATTCTAAATGGTTTTTTTAATTCATTATATGATTGTAATTTTTATATCTGATTAAATTTTTTTTTAAATTTCATAATTAAATTTTTGTTTTTGCATTTTGTTAGTTTTGATTACTTACTTTTTGATTATAATTTAGATAAATACTTTCATATTGTTTTATTTCATTCACAAATTAAAAAATAAATAAAAATCGCCTGAAATAGGAAAGTATTTTTATTAAATTCAATTTTTAAATGATTTAATATGCTTTATTCAAATTTAAACTAAATTGATTTGGATCAATTTTAGAACGTATATTAATCAATTTAATTGACAGTCAATTATTTTAAAGTGGTAACAACACTAATATATTAATAATGTTTTATTATTCAAAAAATAAATAAAAAAATTAAAAGTTTTTACAATATTAATTAAACAGGATTAAATGTCCTGGAATGTGACAAACAGTCTTGGAATATCCTAAAAATATCCTGGAATTTAATTGTTAAAGTTTTTTGGCCATTATGTTATTTTTAACACGCCCTTTTATTAAAAATGATTCATTTTTATAAATATTTTGCTTTACAAAATATACTATCAGCACACAAACCAACTTGTTGGAAGAGGGTGTGTCCCTTTTCTGCAGTATTTTTTTTAATTAATTTTTAAATGTTGATTCATCAGTATCAAATTTTTCAGAGGAAGTGGCAAGTGACCCCCTCCAACCCAAAAAAAATTAATCTTTTTATTAATTTATGTCTTGGCTTTTAGTTAATGATAAGATAATAAATAATCTTAATTCACAGTTTTATAAAATATGTTTATTTATTTGAAAAATTAGAAAAACAAAAATGTGGTTAAATAAATTATTAATTACCATATTGCCGTCTCGTAAAAATATTGTTATCTCTACAATAGTAACAAACTCTACAATTTGTAGCTCTGCTCAGCAAATAAATAGTATAACACCTTCATTATAGAATTGTATGAGCTCCTAAAACCTGTTTTATTTTTGCTACTAAACAAAAATAATTTAATGTGCTGAATCATTAGCCATGAAATTAAAAATGATTAAGCTAATGAATAAGCAAGTAAGTTATATTATTATGTTTGCTAAATGGTTTTGGCCCCTCGCAATTCACAATTTATTGCTTAATTCATC